ATGGATGCAAAACTGCCATAAAGTATGAGGTTTTAGCTGCATCTCATGGGATTTAACATTTGGAGAAAGTGGCAGTACAAGTAACTAGAAAACCCTTTGAAAGAGCATAACACCACTAACAATGAAAAGGCATCAGTACACATTCACCCTTGGGGGAAGAAAGCTTCCCAACCTATTTTTTTAAGAAATGTAAAGAATCTAAATATTAAACCAAGTTGAAAGAGGCAATCCATAGGAGCCATCCTTCAGATTTTGAAGTCTTCTCAAACTCATGCCTTTCCTCCATTTGCCTCCTCTAGTGACCTTCTTAAAAGAGCTCTGGGAAAGAGAGAGGATGGAAAATCCCAACATATCTCTTAGACCTCATTACCCCACCCTACTAAGCTATGGTTTATCCTGGCTGGAATATGTGCTTTAGTTCACCCAACAAACAGCGATTTGCTAACCACACGGTTGGGTTTACGCAAGCTGCTAAGCCAAAAATAAACCAGGAAAATTGAAGTTTAACCTAACGCCAATCCAAACAAGTGACCACTTCAGAAGTGAACGTGCTTTTCCCACTTCCCTCATTCGAAGAAGGATCGAGCGTGGTTCATTTTAGCACTTTATTTATAGGGTTCTCCCTGCACGGGCTCCAGAGAGGTATAACCTTTTGCAGAATGAACTGGGTAGAGTTGTATGCAGATTGGTTTACAGGAAGAACTGCATACAGGAAACAGAATTCTGCTTTCCTGTGTCATAGGGTAAGAGTAACCTTAGCAAAGTTTTATTCTTCTTCTAGCAGATAGCAAACTGCAAAAGAATGGTGCAAAAGTCAATTACAGAAGATTTTATTGGGCATTAAAGAAGCCTCGGGGAACATAATGGAGAGCAATATGATTTCTTCATAGAGCTCTGTATCCCAAGAGAGTCTATTAAGTACTTCCTAGCTCTTTTCGCTTCCTTAAAATGCAACCACCACTGAAACTAAGCCTCATTGTCCAAATTCCCTAATCATTTACAACATGTCTATGGATCTTTAGCTTGCTCCTGGGAATGTACATAAACAAGTTAGAGCTAGAACGCTGGAGGAGCTGATAATTAATCCCTGAGACCATTTTATAGAGCAGGCTGCACACATGATGGATGAGGAGCTGGTAATAAAAAGTCAAGGACAGCATGTTGACCGGTACCAAACTGTCCACTGCTAAAAACCAAAACCATTGCCTGTAGCTTTGATACTGCAGAGTAAAGGCCAGTCTAGCAGAGCTGGGAGTTTCAGTTGTGACACACGACCAGCGTAATATTTGTAAGGCAGCTATGGGTTGATGCACTGCTTTTCCAGAAGTGTTTCAGCACCACGGATAGCACTCTGGTTAGGAGAGATGCTGCTCCAAGGGGTTGCAAATGAATCTTTATAATGCATCATCATCATCATTATTCTGTATGGCACAGATTCCCTGTCTGACAGCAAGGGCAAGATTTTCCAGCTTCTCAGAGAGCCAATGTAAAGCCAAGTAGCTGTCAGAAAAGTAATGGCGTACAAATCTTAGTATAAATAAGATACTAAAAAAAGGATAAATCCAGGGCCTGCGTTCTGCATCCTCTAATTATAGACACTGTGCACTAGAGGGCGTTATCTGCTCTAAAACTGGATTTAGATTTAAATTTCCAAAAGTTGAGAAGCATCAAGCAGGGGAAGATCAAACAAGGAGAAAGAAGCAGTTGATCCTTTCTGCCAACCAAGTAAATATCTTAAGTCATGGACAGAGAGAGAAGGGCAGCACAGACCTGGTTAAACTTCCACATCAAAAACCAGGCAACCGCATCGTACTTCATTTAACACACAATCCAGCAGGGTGGAGGTGATAAAAAAGAGACACCAAGAAGGGGCTGAGGGAATGGGAATGTTGGAGTCTCTAATCCCTCTCTTTTCATGAGCTGAATTTCCCAGCCTGGGAAAGAGGTGATCATGGAGGTTGCAGAGGAGGCAAGATCCAAAAGTAATTCCCACCTCTGAGAACAACCCCATCTCCAATATTGAAGAGGAATCCAAGAAATTCTATAGCTCCAGAATATTGTCTCAGGAGTTAAGAGGACTGTTAGAGGATGGTATCTTGAGTGTTGGAAGCTTCCTCACTCTTTATTGGATGCATAAATTGCCCAATAACTGACCCAGCTAAACCCAGTCAGGTGACCACCAGCTATGTTGGACAAATGTCTCTCAGCACCTGTAGCCCTTGGCAACATTGGTTAGGATGATGGCAGCTGCGGTAAAATTGTTATGAACAGCCAGTAGAAATAGTCCTTTTCAAGCTAAAGCAAGATGAAAGTGTGCAAAACATGTAAATCTGGTAAGCCTGTACAACAGATAACTTCGATTTGGGAATGTTATTTTTCATCCAGTATGGTTTTCACTGCAAAAAGATGACACACATCAAAGATTGTGATGTTTTTCTGCAATATTCAAGCCGACAATACTCTTGAAGTCACCTGTTCATTATTGTGCATTGCTTTCTACAAACTTCTGACAGTCCCTCTTCAGCTGATGAACCAAGAAAGAAAAGACATAAACTCCTAATGGGCAGTCCAGACCAAGCTACCATCGATTCAGGAAAAGAACTTCCTGATGTCTTTTCCTTTGCCTAATTTAGGGTTGGGCTACCAGAAACCCTCCATATATTACTGAATGTCACTCTGAATGCTCTTCAGTTTCCTAGGCTGATGGGGGTCCCCAGAGCTACAAACAATCCCTGCAGATTCATTGATTTAAAATGCTACTTGTGATATTATCCACAAAGGGAAAGGGAAAGAAAGAAAAAAACCCTGTGCAGCTAAAAATCAGTGTGGAGGAAAGGTTAAACTTTTCCCTGAATGCTGAGGACCTGATGCAAATCAGTGTATCTCTACAGATGGATAGATGTGTAATTGCCTCTCGGGTGAGACAACCTGATGGGAATCCATGGCAGGATTTCATTGGACAAGTAAATCCGTCTTTCTCTTAGCTCTACAGTGTCCACGAGATGCCTTAGCCAAGCTGAATGCTAATGAAGCTTTAGCTTGCTGACATTTAAAAATGAAATTGAAAAGGATAAAGCTCCACCTTAGACGTGGAATACTGCGCCCTGTCTGCAGTATAGGTAGTCCTCACTTAACAAATGTTCATTTAGCGACCATTTGAAGTTACAACAGCACTAAAAAAAGTGACTTACAACCAGTGTCCAAAGTCACAGCGCCCTCACAATCATATGATCACAATCTGGGCGTTTGGCAACCAGCTTGCACTTACGACCATTGCAGCGTCCCAGGGTCATGTGATTGCCATTTGCAACCTTCTCAGCAGGCTTCCGGCAAGCGAAATCAATGGGGAACCATGTGATTCCCTTAACGACCACATGATTCACTTAACAACCACAGCAAAAAAGGTCATAAAATTGGGTCCAGTCATGTGATTCGATTAATGACCGCATCACTTAACCTAAATTCCGGTCCCAGTTGTGGTCATTAAGTGAGGACTACCTGCAGAAGGGAAAAGGAACACATTCCACAGTTGCATTAATATATAGGCCCTACATCCTCTTTATTCCAAAGGCTGTGCGTTTCCTGGAATGAGGGGGCCCTGGAAATGGGAGAGCAGGAACAAAAAAGTGAGAATATTTGACAAATGAAGAGGCTGAAGTGACATGCTTTCTGCTATGAATTCTCTATCCTCACTGATCTGTACAGGTTTGTAAAAAATACAAACCTGAATCTATATCCCTAGGACGCCACAACCCATTGTGTGCCACTGCACACAACCGGCTTTTTGCTAAAAATTGTAAAAACTACGGCCCACTACCCCCATGCCCCCATGATTTTCAAACAAAAAGCCTATACACTTAAGACTCTAGCTCCATACAGATCGAACAATGCTGGTTTTTACCCTTGGGGGGAAGTCTCTTTTAACACCTTTTCTTTGGAGAAAACACCTTTTCTGTTCAGAGAATAAATCATATTTTGCAGCACAGCATATGCAATAAAGTGCTTGGGATATGCAAAATATCCATTAGTAACAAATAAATGATTAATTGGGCAGCCTTTGAATGCAAATCCCTATTCATGCAGCACTTAATCTTTGTACATTTCTAAAGTACCTAAAATACACTATAATATTTCAACTTGTCATAATACAACCTGAGAAGGTCATTTTGGGGCTTAAGAAGCATTCTTTAAATCCTCTGTGTTTGATATAAAAAGGAGATCCAGGTTCAATTGCAGGTATGGCTTTTACACTTGTATCTTAACTATTAATAAACCTTTCTGTGCATCAGCTTTTTAACTTAGCCTCAAGATTCCGCTGACGAAAAAGCAGATTATGGTTTTCCCCCCCTTGTTAGGGAAAATTCTGGGTAACTCTATAAACACTGTCTGATGGAACAAACTAGTTTATTTTGAGCAATTCGGTATTCAGACTTCCAGTTTTCCAAGAAAAGGTTGAAATTGGTCATGACATGGTGGCTGGAATACCAAAACTCTGCTGTTTCTGACTCTTAGAAAAGAAGCAATCCAGTTTACTGTCACTTTTTAATGCCAAGCCCCCTTCTTAAGAATCAAATGGAGAACTTCTCCCCCCAGACTCACCTCCTGGCCAATTTTATTGAAGCTCTCCAATTTCTCAGCAGAACTTTTAGCAAGGCTATTTGCACAGAGCCCTAATTGCAACAGGATAGCAAACAACTGCCATACATTTCAATGCCATACATTGACATAAAGGAATGCTCTCAAACCCCCCCCCCCAAAAAAACCTCCAAAGGTATCTCGCTGGAAAGCCTACTTTGCGAGTCAGCATTAGCCAGCCAGATGCTTCAGGGAAGCTCAGCAGCAGATGGAGAAAAGCAAAATCCTCCTGTTGTTTGTCCAGAGCAAGTAGCATTAAGTGCCTCTAAACTTTTGATAGACCTGCCTCCCTCCTGAATGCGTCAATTCCCCTTTTACAGCCATCAAAGCCTGCAATAATTAACCCGGAGGGAAATATAACTTAATCGTGCAGTAAATAAAGTGCTTTATTTTCTCAGCCTAAAACCTACTGCCAAACCACCACTATGTATCCAACAAACCGAAAAAGATGCTCAAACTACATATTCTACATATAGATAATACTTAGTGCCATTTCAGCATTTTATTTAGACATGGTTAATAGCAGGACCAGAAAGATCTAAGGCTGGCAAGACAAGATACATTTTAAACCATCTCCCTCTGCTTTCTTAACATAATGTAGGATGACTTCACTGACAGGTTGAGAAATGATTATTCAGATGTTACCAACCCACCACTACCATCACAAGTGCCATGATTGTTTAAAAAAATAAATGGATACTACAGGTAAAGTGCTGCTTTTCAACCGTGACTGAATGTGACCATTTCCACTAATTTTAGTAACACCAAAGAACTGTCTTTCTCTTTTCTGCTCCATTAAGAAATATTCAGTGGAATAAGGGAAATCTTCCAATGGGGTGGGGGGTGGGGGGGGAATAAGACTGTTTTCGAAACAGCTGCTCCCATCCACACAGGTAGAGTACCTTCTTAAAAGCCAAATTGTTACGTGGTATTTGCCAATTATTCCTTTTCCCATGCAACCCAGGGAATTTACTATTCACATTTTCCTTACAGCAAACTCATAATTACCTGTTAAAAGAACAGGCTGGACTTGAGGGACGTGATTTCTTTTCTGTATTTTTGTGGGTTTGGGCTCACTCCACAGCAAACTCCTTTGTTCAGCTGCTGCCAGTGCAAGGGAACACACACACATGCGTGTGCACACACACACACACACGAGCATGAAAGAACTAAAGACCCAAAATTGGAGGGAAGAACAGAGCTCTGAATCAGGTGGAATTTCCCTTTCCACCCTACCAAGATCTACAAAACTGAGCAAAGGACCCACCGTTCATTTTTCATGGTACTTCCTAACCTATTTTTGAAACAAAGAAACCCAGGAGGAGCTCCTTCTGAGCTGTGGTAAGTTTATTCTGCAGCTTTAGGAGCTAGGCAACAATGCTCTAGTCCTCTAACTTCCTCAACAGCTTAATACTCCAAACACAGACCCTTCCATAAAAAGGCTGCACATAAGAATAACTTAAGAGCATTCTAGCATGTTTACACAGTTACCCACGTTTACCTTTATCCAAAACTGTACGTATTCCTGAGGTTTAGGACTGCAACCCCAGGGTGATCGCCCTCAGTTGCTGGACACTCTTGCCACAATTTCATCAAATTCTGGATTAAAGTACTAGCCTTTCTCTGCAGCAATTCTGAAGCCATCTGAGGGATATTGACTCGTATACCACAGAACCTGATGCACATTTTCAGCAGTGATTTTACATAGTAGCATTTAGAGCATTCTAACAGCTCCAACACTAGATGTGTCCAAACAGTCACTTTGCAACTAACAAGATGTAAAGGCAAACTGGCAGTCCACGGCCAGAGGTCTACTGGGTCACCCTTCAGAAAAAGTGTGCATTTTTTAACAAATCCAAAGACCTGATCTCTATAATTAGAACTATCAAGTATCTTGCTTAAGGGATACCTCCCAATAACAAAATCCTGTTTCCAGGCCAGTGTTAGCCACAACTTACTTCCATATATCAACTGTCCACTCTCTGAAATCACAGGAGTGCCTAGATCGATAATAGAAAACTTAGAAGAGTTACAGCTCCAAAGCAGATTATTTCTTGCTTTATACTTATTACTAACAGAGTAACAAATCTGCACATTGACTCAGAACACATTATCATCCTTGTGCACAAAATAGGCTGATAGAAAGCACAACACTTTTTACCCACTCAGTAAAAGGAATTACAAAAAGGCAACTGGGAAAAGGAATGTTTTTACATCCAACTTCACAAAAAGTCCACTTATATAGCATTAACATTTTAGTTGACCCATCAAGCTATCAAATTATGTTTTAATAATTGAAATTAGTACAGAACATGGTAATTCCAAAAAGTGTGTGAAACTCACAATGCACGAGAAGTCAGAATAGAAACTGTTCCAAATCTAGTTATACAAGGTACATTAAGAACGCAAGTTCTACAGCTGTAGAAAAATGCTTTTACACACTAGTAGTTGGAAAAAGGAAACAAGAAAACAAAAATGGTGTCCGGAAACCCATGTAGGCTTGTAAAAATGTCTCTTTTCTGTGACCATCATAGATTATTGGCAGGCTGTTGAGAGAAAAGTAGGACAATCAGTAAAGAAAGTAGAACCAGTCACATTCCTAAGTGAAATTTTAAAAGGTTGTATCCTGCATGCTCCTAACTAAAAATACAGGGAACTGAATAGCCAACCCAGTCACATGTTGGGACAGTCACATTCACACCTTCACTCAGCCATAAGCAAAACAGATGGCTTTAGACCAGTCCCCGGTATTCAGAAGTACAGACACAATTTGTGCCCTCATCCAGCCTTAGGTACAGCTCTGAGACCACTTCTAAAACTGTCCACCAAACTCTAATTAGTATTTTTCCTTATGTTACATTATTATTAAATGCCTAGGATGTAATATTAATTGCAAACAAATACAGGTTAATTTGATTTATTGAGGCATCTCAAAAAGTTGTACACTGTATGACCTTTGTGGTTTTTATTATTAAGTGCTCCTATCAATACGGCTATTGCAGATACATCATGCCACTTCGTGTGACAATTCCTCCCCTATAAAGAGGTCTTTCCTTCTAGCCTTCCAACCAATGGACTTCAAGAAGCATCACGACGTTTCTTATACTTTGCCTCTTAAGCAATTCTACAAGGCATTTAGCTCATCCAGACACTTAAAAAGCCAGACCTGCTGGAACAGCATCTAAACTACTTGGTGGACAAGTGTCCCCTGTTCCAACCAAAAAGGGTGTTATACCGGCTGGACTGGGGAGTGGGGCAGGAGGCCGTGGGTGAAAGTTCAGTACATCTTGATACTTCTAAACCTTTTTTTTTTTTTACCTTTAAGCAGGTGCAACTATCTACTTTTCCCTCCTCTTATAAGCAAATAAATAAAACAAACTAATACTGCATCACATGCAGGCCTACGGCCTATTTATGATCCCAACCCACCAGCTGACAGCCATTCCGCCCAATTTAACCTGCAGGCACATTGAATCATGTCAGAGTAAAGCTCACTTGAAGTCTTGGTAGCGGCCACCTTGTTTTCTCCTTCCAGCTCCTCCACTCCGGCCTGGGTCATGAGATCTGCTATGTTCTTCTCCAGGTCGTCGATGCGGCAGCTCATGTCATCAAGTGAATCTGAGTTAAGCAAAACCCCCTAGAGAAATGCAGGTTAATGGAACCACCTTCTGACCCTAAATAGTTTGAGGTCCTTTTAATATGCAACAGGAACTCTTCAGCAGCTCTAAATGGGATAAATAATGGTTTGATATAATGGATTAAAAGGCAACTGCAAATGTCATAAATGTCATTCTCTGCAAGAGAAATTGGTGGAATGCTGTGTAAATGTTAAATGTTGAATATCGAATGGGGAATGCTTAGCAAGAGACCACTTGCATTAAAAGCCTTAGGCCCAAGTAAAAGGATCTCAGAAACCAATGTTGGGAAAATTCTTTCTCTGCCAAAGGTCCTGGAGAACTCCTGGTAGTCCATCTACCACTTGCACTGCTGACAAGGATCAAGACGGACCAGAATTACAGTACAAGCCAGCTTCCCTGATACCCTCCAGATATCTTGAGAATAGGCATGGAAGCCCAAATATTTTGGAAAAGCATCAGGTTGGAAAATTACATTCCTTTCCTATGACCTCAGAGACTGAACGAAATTACTTATACAGGTAGTCCTTGCTTACCAACCACTCATTCAGCGACCAAACTTACAACGGTGCTGAAAATAGAGATTTATGACCAGTCCTCAAAACTGCAGCCCGTCGCAGCATCCCCATCATCACAACTGCGATTCGGGTGCTCGGCAACCAGCTCACAATTACGATAGTCACAGCATCCCCCTATCAGGGGAGCAGAGGCACAATATGACATGATTCCCATTTAATTGTCACATGTATGTGAGGCTTTTCTTCAGTGGATTCTTCCCATATATGGAGGTCTAGCACAACCAAACCATTTCGGGAAATCTTAGGTTCACTGCTTCTTTGCATTACAGAACTCTTCATTACTTCCATACTCAAAGGATATTCCTACCAATTATTTGATCAGACATGGTTTGGAACTTGTCCTGCATTTGCTGCAGGAGAGTCTGCACCTGATAAGAAAAGAAAAATTTTATTTTAAATGAGAATACCACTTAAACCCAGATTACAAAACCCCATTAGAGAAATATTTGCCTCCCCCGTTTCCAAAAGCAAAAGCTTCATGAATGTGGGTTATAATACATTAAAAGTAATGTTATAAAAGTTAGCATGGTAATGATTTGGGCCTGGCCATCTAGGGGCAGGGGGAAGCAATGTCATCACAAAAACCACGCCAATAATTTAATTTACATCCTGCATTGTTTGTGAAATGTCTTCATGACCCATACAACATTGTTGTGGCTTTTCTGGGGTGCCTGTGTGTTTAAGACAATTCCTCAAAGCTACCCTAAAGCCACTCAATGGATTTAGGAGCAGCAGCATCATTACATGAGATGTAACGAGATGGAAGTTTCTTTTTCTGCAAAGGGGCCGCAAAGGCCAGATGCTGAACCTGATTCCGACCTGCTCCAGGCGCCCAAGGCGAGCAAGCAGGAGGGAGGGACAGGAGAGATAAATGCCTTCCGGAGTGGGGGGCTATAAGAAATTGAATTAATAATAACAGTAAGCATACAAAGAGCTTTGCAATAAGGTAATATTCAGAGGATCTTTTGTCTTGGTTCAGTACGGATCCGATTCTGTTTCCAGTTACTTATTTATCATTCAGCATAGGCCAGTATTTAAATACATATTTAAATAAGCCCTATTTAAACCTCTCGGTGCCAAGACATTATTCCGAAATGGGGGGAGGCATCACAGGACGTGGGCAACACTGAAGACAAACATCAAGGACCCACTGCGCAGCCCAGCACCCCTGACTGGATGCAACTGGGCAAACTGGGTCTAACTGGTTCCAGCGCCAATGGCTTCCCTTGCAGATGAGAGACTTTGCACAAACTCTGGGGCAAAATATCATTTTAAACCACCTTACCCCGCCCCCCGGTGCAGGATAAGCTTGGAGAAAGACAGGGGCCGTATTCCCACAGCACACCCACCCCGGGTTCGCAGGATCCATTGCAAAGGTGGGGTTAAGCCCCTCCCCCATTAACCCAGGTTGCTCTTAACCCGAGTTGGTCGTGTGAACGCGGCCCCCGGGCCCTGCACGGATGTCTAAATCTGCCTCTTTGACCAGCAGCGCCCAGGGAGCCCCCTCCGTCTCCATGGCAACCTGGACCGCCCGCCCCCGAAGCGCATCGACTCCCACCATCTCCACAGCAACCCCAACCGCCCCGCCCGCCTCCCTAGTAACGCTGCCACCTCCCTTCCCCGTCTCCATAGCAACCCCAACAGCCCTCCCCCAGGCTCCGCGGCAACGCCGTCGACCGGGCGGGCCGCTCCTCCGCCCCCGCAAAGGCCGCTCACCACAGTGGTGAGATCCTGAACGGTCTTGGGGTCCGTCTCCGCCATGTCGGTCCGCTGTGGCTGCCGCGCCTCCCCGTCGACCGTCCAGGCCCGACTCCCAGGCGCTTCTGGCCTTCTCCGCGAGAACACTGGCCCGCCTGCGACCTCTCGCCAAGTCTCGCGAGAGCGAGGCGCGAAAGTGGTATTGTGGGAAATGAAGTGCTTCCTGCTCGGGGGCACTCGCAGGCACTTAAGCTTTCCTCATTAACCGGGGAGGCATAAAGACCTGAACACCAGGCCGCGTTGCCTGGGAATGATGTGAGCTGTAATTCCAACGAGGAGCTCCGCCTTCAACGAAGCGGCGATGGCGCTCTAGCCGTGGCATCTCTACTGCCCGTGCCCAGAGACCGGAAGTGTCCTTTCAGTACTGCGACGGCCAGTACTTGACAGTTCAGCGATGTTGTCACATGACTAGGAAGTAAGTTACAGGAGCATTCTGGGAAATGTAGTTCCGATTTGGACAGACGGCATCAAGAAGGCCGTTCGCTCCTTCAGGAATCCCATCAAGCCGGCAAAGGGGGGGCATGTTGGACTACAATGACCATCCTGTCCTGCCGGGAGAACAGGCCATCATTTTGACCCTGTTCCCTCAGAGATCCCCGCAGATCACTTGCTTTGGACTACAGCTCCCATCAGCCTCAGCCAACATGGACTAATAGTGGGATTATGGGATTTGTAGTCCAAAACATTTTCCCTTCTGGGCTATAACCCTCCTTGAGACTGCAGTTCTGCATATCAAAGAGATTGCCTGGTTGAACTAATTTGGCAATAAATTTAAATATATAAAGGCACTCAATCAATCTATCTATCTATCTATAAAAAATTAGATTTTATCCACTTTTAATCATGTGTGTGTGTGTGTGTGTGTGTAAATAAAAGGCAGGATGATGATGATGATGATGATGATAAAAAAATTCTATGGTTATATAAAATTATATTTTATCCACTTTTAATTATATATGTGTGTGTGTGTGTATATAAATAAAAGGCAGGATAAAAATAATAATAAACTTCTATGGTTGTAGCTGCATACAAGTCTGGGTGGATTAATATGTTTGTGGAGAGGCACTAATTCAGCCGATGACGCTTCCAGTCTGAGGGATACTTTGAAGCTCAGCTCGTAAAAATAAACTTTGTGTAGAGAGCCGCCTGTGTTTATTAGACTACGTCACACAGAGTTTAAACACATCATTCTGTTGTGTGTTTTGAGGCCAAAAATGGACTCGAGAAGCAACCATCGCAGTGGAAGAATTCGGGGAAAGGATTACGCGGAGACTGGCATAACGCCGCTCCATATACTCTGTTTCTTCACCTTTTTTTCTCTCGGGACCCCTTCCCACTTTCAAAAATTATGGGAGGCCCCCAGGAGCTTTTGTTTGCTCGGCTGATATTTATCGATATTTACTGTATTAAAAATTAAAGTCCGCTCCTCTGCCACCACTCCTGCTTCTCACAATTGTTTGATGGGATTTTAGTATTGTATTATTTTTCAACATCGGCTGGCAAATCATTTTGATTTCGTGGACCCCTGAGTGGGTCTTGGGGGCCTAGGACCACACTTTAAGAAATATAAATAGATGATTGATTGATTGATTGATTGATTGATAGATGGACAGATAGGTGCAATCATTATTGGAATGCCATCCAATTAGTGTCAACCCTTAGCAACCACATAGATAGATTTTCTCCGGGACGATTCCTCCTCAGCCTGGTCTTCCAAGTCTCCCAACGGTGCCCCCATCGCCACCATAACCGAGTCCCTCCACCTTGCTGCTGGTCGTCCTCGTCTTCTCTTTCCTTCCACCTTCCGCAGCATTCTGGACTTCTCAAGAGAGCTAAGTCCTTGTATAATGATATGCAAAGATAATGGTAATTTGAGCCTGGGCATTTGACCAGAAACGTTGGCAGCGGCGAAAACAATTGCGTGGATTCTAACACCCTTCACTAAGACCCTCCCTGTAGCCGTTTGTTGAAGAAACCATGTAAAATGTTAAAACGTAACCGCTTCTTGTTTTCCAATATTTCCACTTCCTTCGGCGTGGCGTTCTGCTCAAAGAAAACTTCTCTTTGCTTTGAAACTGTTATGTGCGTTGTTTCCCCATTACTTCATCTGGGAAGTAATAAACCAGAGAAACAATTGGTCAAAAATTGCATCCCGTTCAAATTTTGGGAATGATCCAAATTCACATAAAGAAGCCCACTGGGACAATATTCCTTTCAGTTCGAAACAGCAGCACAACCTCCTTCAAATCTTGCAAGTTTTGCACTGTAGTGCCAACACTAAGAAAAGCGTTAAGTTCTTTGTCACCTTCCTTTGAATTCACCCTAACTTCTCGTACTGCTCTAACTATTGTGGTTTCTTTCATTCTGGCTTGGGGTCGGCTGTACTGATCTGTAGGCCGTGACTTTTGGACAAGTGTGGGTGAACCGAGCCAACTGTGGTTTATTTACTAAACCATGGCCAAGAAAACCATGGCTTGGACAAAGGGTGAAGCCAGTCGTTTTCTAACAAGGTTTAGCACGCTCCAGAAACTGTTTTGTTTAATCTGTGCTAGAGCGAGGTATCGGAAGATGGAGGGAAGGCTTTCATAGAGGGGTTTTTAAGGGTTGCAGGTAGAAAACAGCCATTACCTGCACTCTGCAGATGTTATATTATCACTTCCCTAGTAGCGAGGGCTCTGCAGAACATGATAAAGGACAAAGCACATTATTATTATTATTATTATTATTATTATTATTATTATTATTATTATTAT